CCCTTGTTTTCTTTCCTTGGAGTTATGATCTTTGGCAATTCAGGAACACCTTCACCTAGTACATCATCTCTCAGCAAACTATTCAGTGTCTCTCCATGATCTATGATCAGCAACAAATTCTTGTGTTGTGTCGTAGCAGCTACCATTGCAAGGCTGTCAGCATCACATTTCATTTCTTTCATTCCTTCACTAAGTGTCCTTCCAGGCTGGCACCATAACACATCATGCTGATGTCCACTAGCTTTGTCATAACCTAGCTGTTTCAGAAAATCTTCAATCCACAATATAGACCATGTGTCACTATCACAATTGTCAAACCAATCCACTGCATAGTCCATGTAGGTACTATTACTGCCAGTTCCACAGAAAAATCCCTTGTGGTGAATCTCAACTGTGAATAGTCCATCAAAATCACCTGCAATGTATGCAGTGCAATAATATTCAGATAACAAGACACATACATATTCAGTGAATAGTGAACCAGCTATTAGAGCTAAAATTCAGTTAAAAAAACAATGCAAACACATAGTGTTTCAGTCAGCATTACCAAACAATCTAATATAGTCATGTTAAGGCCTAACTTGGCCTACATGTTCACCTATTTTGAAAGACAATAGCCACCAAATTAGTGCACACTGCCTAAAAATAGCAGATAAATACATATAGTCCCAACTTTCAATTAACAGTTGCAATGCAGATCTTCAGTTAAGAAATGTCGAAAAATTCAGTAACAACTATTCACATCTTCAGTTAACTATTCACATCTTCAATTAAAAAAGCAGGGGCCTACTAAACCTGGGCTTAACCCTATCCTACAAACAAATGCGTAGGGGGATTTTAACATCATCTGCAGACTAAATTCCATCCGCAGGCAAAATCATCAAGAAACCATAGATTTTTTGTGGCCGATCGAACTGACAAAAACCCTATGAAAAACAGGGACGACAAGGGATTGTGCAGGGGGAAACAAGGTCTTGCTCACCGTACACAGGAGCTGCCTCGCCGGGAGTGCGGCGACGGGGCTCCATCGTTGTCGACGCCGCTGATCCACGCCTCCAGATCAACGCCGCATCTGCCTTCAAACACTTGGGAGGAGAGACATAGGAGGAGAGCTCGAGGCAAGGGAGTCGAAGCGGCAGGGTCTGCACACTCTTTTCGTGATACGTGAGGTCATATAGGCAAAAACGAAAGGGCAACACTGTACAGCCAAGGCGGGGGCCTATTTGCGAAAAAATATTAAATCTAAGGATTTTTTGAAAAATCTCCGGCCACAAGCCCGCGCCCGAGCCCTCTGGTCACTGACAGCGGGACCCCCACCCAGCTGGCTTGCTTAGTCAGCACTTAATCCGTATCAAAACGAGAAAAGCATCGTATGTGCACGCCAGAACCAAGTTTTTTCACCACATTGTTGTACGCCACAACTTGTGGCACCAAAGTGACCATCCACGCCAAGTTGTGACACCACCAGTGTAATTACCTCAAAGATAATATTGCATCAGCATGACGTCATCCTGATATCAGCAGTCAACCAGCCAGTTGACTGGTCAAACTAACGCCAGGGACCCACCTGTCATTGACCTAACTAAACCAACAGGGTTGTATTAACTAAATTAGTTGATTAGACTAATTAAGCAAGGTTAATTAAGTTAATTAATTACCTATTTAATTAATTGATTAATTAATTACTTTCATTATTTACTTATTTTTAATCTTTAAAAAAACAGGGGCTGGGCCCCGTGTGCCTGTGGGCCATAGGCCTTAGCGGGCACTGGCTATCGGGCGAGTGCCCGTGGAGGCCAGCCCCGGGCACGCACGGCACCAGGGGGTGTCGGGCACCGCGGCTGGGCGCGGTCTCCGGCGAGGCCACCGGCGGGCACGGAGTGGAGGGGGCCGCGGCCAGCGGCAGGAGGCCGGGACGTCGAGGAGCGGCGACGGCGGCTTC